CCAGAGGGGCTGAGTCTATAGGTCAGAGACAGGAAAATAAAAGATTCAAAGCACAGAAGGATTCAATGTGCCACTGCTGGTTTGGAGCTGGAGGGCACCATGTGGCAAGGAATGTGCACAGCCTATAGGAGCTGAGAACAGCCACACTCAGCCACCTCAGCAGAAGTCAAAAATAGAGAAAGATGATTTCAAAAATATTTTTGAGTGTGGATTTTCTTCAATGGAGTAAAACCCAGTGAAATTTATGCAAGACTCAAAAGATTCTTAAGAAAATTGTATCAGCAGAAATACAGTCAGCCTGGAATGAAAGAGACAGGACAGTATAAAATGAAAAGAAAATGCCAGACCCTTAAAATTCTCCTTATGGGAAATGGCCTGATAAAACTACTCAGCTGGGAACACATGCTACCTTTAATGAAAAAGGAAAGATTATTCAGATACTACAACTAAGAGCTCAGGGTATAGAACTGAGAGTCCAGAGGATAGAGCCAAGACCACAGAGGGTAAAGATTCCCAGGCCTTGAAACTAATAAAGGAATTTGGGGCCAGTGACCTCTTTTTATCTTCCATTTTACCCATTTTTTTTCTAAAATTGTTATCCTGTGTCTGTCTCATCATCATATTTTGGGAGTTTCGTGGGCAGAGAATTTGTCTCCTTGGTTTCACAGATTCACAGATGGAGAGGAATGTTTTCAGGAGCTTTACTTAGTGGATTATGCCCAAGATACTCATTCACATTTGGTTTAGCTAGTTTAGACAATGCTATTTTAACTTTTGAGATGATGCTATAATGGAGTGAGATTCTTGGGAATCTTAGGAGGAGTTAAATGTGTTTTGCATTTGAAAGGGACATAAATTTGGGGACCAGACTATGGTAGACAGAATTTTAAGATGACTTCCTCAAATCACCAGCCATGGTATATATATATATATATATATTTCCAGTCACTCAATAAAATACTAATCTATGTCTTGAAGTGAAGAGATTTTGCAGATGTCATTATGGTCCCCAATCAGTTGATCTTAACATAGGAAGATTATCTAGGTGAGCCTGACCTAATCATATCATCTCTTTAAATAAGGGTCTAGAGTCAGAGACAAGAGAAGTCAGAAATTAGAAGCATAAGAAAGAATCAATGTGCCATTGCCCAGTGGACATTGGAGAAGGCCACATGGACGTGAACTCTAGGAGCTGAAAACAGCATGGCTGACGGCCAGCAAAAAAGAAAAAAAAAAAAAAAGGACTGCAGTCCTACAGCTAAGGAACTGAATTCTGAAAATAACCTGAATGATCTTGGACGAAGATCTTCTCATTTTCCCCTAGAGCCTCCATATGAGAATTCAGTCTGGCTGATACACTGATGTCAGCTTTGTGAGACTCTAAGCAAAGAACACAATTATGGCATGCCAGACTTCTGGCCTACAGAACTGTGAGCTAACAAATGTGTGTTTTTTAAGGTGCTCAGTGTGTGGTAATTTGTTATGTAATAGTAAACCATTGCATTATGGGACACAAATATCTTTACTAACTGTGTCCTTCATGAGTGGTCTATCTAAAAACCTATTTCCCAGACCTATTCATCATTAATTTTCCAGTTTAATTTTCTACAAGTCCCTGACCAGCCAATTTTTTTAGTTATTGCTCATGAGGCAGAGGAAATCCATATTTCTAGCCATGAAAGGTTTTACACAAAATGGATAACCATATGAACCACACAAAATCCTACTCACTGGTAGCTTGTCTCTTTTCCACTGTGCTTCTGGGTTATGCCTGAGTGAGAATACGGTGAAGCAACCATCCATTTGCACCTACTATCAATATATGAAAATAGTAACCCTGAAATCGAGACATTGTTTTACCCATCATTTTCTAACTGGGCATGAGGATGAAGAACACCCCACAAGGCCAAATATGATATATATAGGTTGAGAGGAAGACAATGAAATAGCAGGATTAGTATCAAGAGAGTCTGATCCAACTGCCCATTAAATTTACTTATGCCTTCTTTGCTTACTCAGGCCTGATCTTTTAAGACCATTTGCAATTAATGGTGGAAAGCTGATGCTCACACCAAATGTTATTATTCAACAGAATAGACAGAAACAAGTTCATTAAGTGTATCTCACCTGTGCAGAAAATTAATACCTTGCGGTCAGGTGTTAAGCCTCTACCAAGGTCTGGTAGCACACCAGGAGCAACTTCTCAAATGTAGACTAGATGCCAAGAAAAGATAGCATAGTTTTGCTTTAAAACTCCAGGGTGTATACTTTAATTCTACTACTGGGGCTTTCTAAGACTTTATGGAGCCTCTCTATGTAGCACAGACATGATACAATTGTATCTACAGGGTCATGAGGCTGAAGTGTCAAAGAAGCTTGTGCTATAATCTGGACCTACTGTAGGCCTTCTTCTTGCTCTGGATACCACTCAAAACTGGAAACCGTATGAATTCCAAGCAGAAAACAAATAGGATATATGTTGTCTCTAAAAGCCAAGACCTTAATTCCCTCCCCCCCCACCCCCAGCTAAGTGGAGCAAGATCATCCCCTAGCTAAGTGGAGCAAGATCATTGAGGCATATACTCAACTGCTACCACTCTAGGTCAGCCCTCTATCCACTGTTCTCCCACCCTGGCAGGCATTCTTCTATTCCTTTGTGAGGCTGTGCTCCTGTGGCATATACAGAACCCTCCATTGGGTTCTTTTACAACACAGATGCCACAGTTGTTTAGTTTGCTTTTACAGAGCCTGCCTGACTGGAGTTGAGAAGTTTCACCCTCTACAGCCCAGGAGCTCTCCTTGGTGCTGCTGACTATGTATTCTTTATTAATGGCAGCTTTACTATTAAGTACAACAGGCCCTGTTGAGCCTGTGAAGCCCTTGACTTCCCTATCCTTCGGGGACTGTAAGTAAAGCCTGCTAGATAATTTATTTGTTCAAGGTTATTTATATAGACAGGGGCTAAACTTGGAGAAGAACATGTGGTTCCTGACTCATTATTATTTACACTTTTATTAAGTATGTACTACTTGTCAGGTATTTGTATTGGGCACTAGAAATACAAGTATTAAATGGACAGGCTATACTTTAAGATGTAGAGTCTAATGTATGTTTGTCAATGTTTTTAACCACAGCCCACAGTCAGAAATACATTTTTTATCAAACCCATGGTATACACGCATACAAGCATACATAACTGAAATACAAATTTCACAAAACAATATTTGCTGTAATTGAAATGCAATTTGATATTTTCTATTTGGCTCTATTCAACTCTATTCTATTATATCTCATTAAAAAAATTTCAAGTCTTGACCCACTGAATTGATTTCAAGGTCTACTTTGCATGGGGGAAGAACAACTGCAGTTTGGCAAACATGGGTATATTAATTTGTGATGGGGCTTATACAGTGTATATATTTATACTTGAGGCACATGTTTTGCATAAATGTGGGGGTAGGGAGCCTGAAAAGAGTCTTCCCCTAAGCTGGTGCTTCTCAAATTTCAATGTGCATAGGAAACTCCTTGGGATTGTGTTAAAATAAAGATTCTAACTCAATAGGGCTGAATTAGGGCCTGAGATTCTGCATTTCTAGTTAGCTTTCAGGTGATGCTGATGCAGCTGGTCCATGGACCACAGTATGTTCACTACTAAGGATTTAAAACTCAAATGTATTGATAGGTCTGCTGAACTGCTAAGGTGGGGCCTGATGAGTTTCCTGAAAATGAACGCAACCTGAGAAAGTCTGCAGACAAAGTCTGCAGACAATTAATACACGTGAACAGCACAGAAAAAAATATCACACAAATATGTCTAGCCTGCAATATCTGAATTTTGTGATGGGAATATTTATGTATGCAAAAAAACACAAATAAAAAATTACACATAAATGATTGTTTTGCAAAAAAAAGCATCTGAAAGGTATTAATAAGGGGCCCAAGCAGCACTAGGGTGGAACCCAGGGGTAACTGGTGAAAGTAATTCTAAAGTGGGGAGAGAATTTTATCCACTTCTGTGAAGGAGGGATCCCTTCTATAGAGGAGGGATCAAGGGTTTTGTGGACATTGACTCACCAGTGACTCCAGAGAAATTGTCAGGGCTTTGGCACCTTAAAGGCTCTGTTAGTAAAGGGTGCAGGACACAGGAGAAAGGGCACAGCACCCAGCAGACATGGCAGTACCCAGGAGGGAGTGGCATCTACCTCTCAGCTGCCTGGACTTGTTCCTGGGCATGAGTGAGACCTCCTTCAGCCCTCCCCCAATTGTCTGATTCCATTCATGTTCTTGCTACTACATGGGAATGGTGCAGGAGCCATTCCTCCCCCAAGTGCTGCTGGGGGCCAGCTCACAAAACATGTCACATATTCAGCACCTCATCTGATACACTGGGCAGTCCTGTGAAGCAACTATTATCCCCATTTCACAGGTGACAAGACTAACCCTTAAAGCAATAGATCTATTATAATTACCAAGTTGATTCCTCTAGCTATGAGTCCCAGAGATAATATGAGTTTTACCTGTCATCTTACTTTCTGAAAACATGAATTTTAAGTGTCTTCATTGCCGTCAAAAGCTCACTGCACAGTTCAAATGCTTATTATGTATTGTTTTCTGATTTTGTTTATTTTTATTATGACAAATGTAATCCATATCCTTTAGGAAGAAGCAGAGATGAATGAGTAGAGAAAAGAAAAAGAATTACACATAGGGGGAGTCATAAGATGGTAGAGGACTCAGGAGAAGGGGCAGCAGTGCCCGCTGACCTGGTTACAAACAAGGAAGACATAGGGATGGGCACAACAGCAGAGGCCTGGCATGGAGGTACCTACCCATCAGGTGATTGGACTCATTTTTAAGTACATGCTATACCTATCCTTGGCCACTATACAGGAATAACCATTGCCTACTTTTAAGCATACACACTTTCAGAGTTTTCTCTGTGCACAAATACATTATGCAAACATATTTACAGTTTTACAAAGGTGGGCTGATACTGTGTATGTGGTCCTACAAACTGTTTTTCCTTTATTGTTATTTTACAATGTACTATGAACATTCTTTCATGCACATGGGTGAAAATCCTCTACCAAAAGAGCGCTGTCATTGGATCAAAAGGCTGCTGGTAACAAGAGTGACATCTAAAGCAAATGATCAGCTTAAGCACACAGCCTGGCAAAATCTGCCAGGGAAAGCAGGGCCAGCAATATTCTCATCAGAGACGTCAGAATTGAAGGCCAAAGGCGTTAAATGTATGGAATATCATGTAAGCCCCTCTGGGCCCTACCTCCGCCCCTCACTCCCCTGATGCCCCGTTGGCCCCTTGTGGCAAACGGATCGGGTACATCTCTCTGCATCCAATGAAAACCACCCATTTTCTGCTTTTTCCTTAGCTCCTCCTGGGCCCTTGACAGGTCTCCATACTCTCTCATCATCTCCTCACTGCTCAAATGCCTTTCCTGCAAGTCCTCCTGAGAGTTCCTGGGGGAATCGTCCGTCGTCCCCCTGTCCGTTTTCCTCTTTGCTTTCCGGGGCACATAATCCTCAGCTGGGCGCTTTTCCGCGGCCGGCGGCTGGCTCTCTGGCTTTGCCTGGGATTCTGGCTTGCCCTCACCTTGTGGCTTGCCCTCACCTTCCGACTTTCCCTGCTTTTCTTGCTTTCCCTCATCATGTGGCTCTCCCTTGTCCTCTAGCTTTCCCTCATATTTTGGCTTCCCTTCCACGTCCGGCTTTTCTTCCTCTTCTGACTTTCCTTGATCTTCAGGCTCTACTTCATCTTCTGGCTTTCCCTTGTTTTCCGGTTTCCCTTCATTTTTATTGTAGGGTTTTTCCATGTTGAGATTTCCCCTCTTTTTCCTGTCCTGGGTGGGTAGGAGTAGAGGAAAGAGGAGACATGGGAGACTGAGGGCATGGGGAAGAAAGCAGGTCCGGATAACACTTGCATCTTGCCCCTGCTGATGGCTCCCCTACCCTGGCCCGACCTCCAAGTGTGCCTTCTGCCCGCCCCTTACCCCACCGTTCCTCCCACACACGTGAGCCCACCATCCCTGGCGGGAATTCCCGGCCACCTTCTCCACACTCCCTCCGCCTGGGCAGTCGGCCCCCAAATCTGCACAAGCTGTGCGCTCCACACTCTCAACCCTTCTGGGTCCCTGTCCCTGCCGCCCACCCCTTCACGGACCTGTGGGGATCCTGGACAGGTTGCTCCTCCTTCTCAGGCCTCGCAGAGTGCTGGCAACGACAGACACGCAGACCTGCAGACAGACAGGAGACAGGGCAGGGGCTGCGCGCTCAGGGGGCTCACAGGTGTCCCTTTCCTGAATCCAGGCCCTTTTCACCCAACGTTTTCCTCCCCCACCTCCCCCGCACCCCAGCCGCCATTTCTCTCCAGGCCTTGGGCGCCAGACCAGGATGCTTTCCAAACTGCGTTTGGGTCCCTGTGTCCCCCTCTCCTGGAGGCAACCTGCCCCATCACACCCCCTTTTCGTGGAGGTCAGCATGTCTTCACAGGCGCAGAGTGTGAGAGGGGCTGATTTCCAGAATATGTCTGCGTTTCGCCGTCGCACTGCAGGGGCGTCCCCCCCACCCCAATTTCCAGATGTAAAATGGATGGAGAGCTCAGAGGGGGGATGAGAAGGCTAGCTGGGGCCGCTGCGGGGTCCTCCCGCCCCCCTCCTCACCAGTCCCTCAGATTCCTTCCCCGCCCCCTCCTCGCTGCTCCTGGGTCCTACTGCCAGCAACTCCATCCCCTGCCCCGCGTCTGCGGGCGGGCAGCGCCCGCCTTCACACTGACCTGCGGGCACCAGGGACAGGCCTGCGCCTCCTCCGGCATGCAGAACCCCGCCTGCAGCTCGCCCACCACCCGTGCAGCCCAGGGAGCTGGTTCAGCTCGGGCGCCAGGACCGGACCGCAGGGCGGGCGGACAAGCGGGCGGCTGGGCGCGGGGGCTGGTGCCCACGTCTGTGCCCGGCCAGTCACATGAGTGCCGCGTCACCCGAGCTTGGAACTTGGCCACCCCCGCCCCGCCCACCTCATCTCCCTATCCTGGAGGGGCCGGGAAGCTAAGGACACTGGGAGGGGTGTGTGTAACAAAGAGAGGAGTCCCAGAAGAGAAGGAGTGGCTTTCTGACCCCAGGTGCTTTACTTGGCACATCGCACAGCACAACATTCTTGCACAGCATCCCTTTCAGATGCCCACTATAACTAGGTGTGACAGCTGATCAGAGAGGGTATCTTACTGTGCCAAGAGCTTTCAGCTCCTGAGACCCACAGCCCTCTTTCAAAGCTGCTTCTGCCTGACTCTAGCCCAGGTGCTGGTGCCTGCCAGCCAGAGAGTTGAGCTGCCACCTTGAGTGCTGGTGCTCCTGGGATTCTGTCCTGGGCCTCCTCTCTCCTAAGTCCCCATGTTCACTCTCCCTGGGTGATCTCCTTGGCCTCCCTCTAAACACCACTGACTCCCAAATCTACATCTCTAGGATATTTACTCCTCCAAATCTCAGATTAGCCTTGCCAACTGTCTACTGGACATCACTACTCGAATGTCCCTGAGGGACTTCAAAGTCCATGTACCCCAAACTGATTTCACTAACTTCCTTCTCACCATTTCCATTGACCTCTCTCCTCACTTGAAACTTACCCTCCAACAGTTGACCCGTTTTCTTAAGAATGTCGGATAGGTAGTAAAGAAAGCATTAAGACATTTTTAATATGGACCTCAGATGCACAGAGGTATCATAACCCTTGATTCACAACACACCCTTCACTGATTCTTGCTTCCTTAATTCCTTTCTTCACCTTTCCTTCTCTTTTGTTCACTTTTCTTCCATTCTTTTTCTCTTTCATGTTTGTGGAACCACCACCCAACCCAAAGAACTAGGAAACTGCCAATATTGTTGTTACTGCAGTATAGTACCACGTATTTGGGTTTTGGCAAGATGGTTATGATGTGTTTTGGTTTGATTCTCTTTGAGATTATCCTCCTTGGAGTGCATTGAACTTCTTGGATACACAGTGTCTTTCATCAAAGTTGAGTAATTTTCAGCCATTATTTCTTTAAAAATTCTTTCTGCCCCTTTCTGTTTCTCTTTTCCCTGTTGAATTCCCATCATGCATGTTAGTACACTTGATGGTGTTCTGCAGGTCTCTTCAACTCTGTTTATTCTTCCATGTTCTTCTGTTTTCTGCTCCTCAGATTGGATAATCTCAATTGACCTATCTTAAATTCACGTATTCTTTCTTCTGCCTAAGATCTAATGTTGTATCCCTCTAGTGGGTTTTTCATTTTAGTTTTTGTACTTTTCAGCTCTAGAATTTCTATTTATTTTATGATTTCTATATCTCTTTATATTTCTATTCCTCTAAAGACATTCTTCTCCTCCTTTCCTTTAGTCCCTTGTCTATGGTTTCCTTTAGCTCTTTAAACATATAAGATACAGTTGACAAAAAATCTTTATCTAGTTAGTCTAATACATGGACTTCCTCGTAGATAGTGCCTAGTAACTTATTTTTGTTCCTATGCATGGGCTATACTTTCTTCTTTGTATAGCTCATAAAATTTTGTTGGAATATGTAGATTTTTAATACAATGTATAGACTCTGGAAATCAGATTCTCCCCTTCCTTTCGGTTTTGTTACCACTCTGTCTTGTGGGTTATTGTTTACTTGCTTAGTGACTTTTTTATCTCAGCATATTATGGGGGTACAAATGTTAAGGTTACATATCTTGCCCTTGCCCCCCTCCCCCCTTGGATGAGAGCTTCAAGCGTGTCCATCCCCCATACTGTGCACATCACACTCATTATGTGTGTATGTACCCATCCCCTTCTCCCCCCTCCTATCTGCCCGATGCCTGATACATGTTATTCCTATATGTCCACTTAAGTGTTAATCAGTTTATACTAATTTGCTGATGAGTACATGTGGTGTTTATTTTTCCATTCTTGGGATACTTCACTTAGTAGAATGGGTTCCACCATTTCCAGGAAAATACAAGTGGTGCTATATCACCGTTGTTTCTTATAACTGAATAGTACTCCATGGTATACATATACCACATTTTATTAATCCACTCATGTATTGATGGGCACTTCAGTTGTTTCCACATCTTTGCAATTATGGATTATGCTGCTATAAACATTCGAGTGCAGGTTTCTTTTTCAGAGAATGTCTTTTGTTCTTCTGGGTAGATGCCCAGTAATGGGATTACTGGGTCAAATAGTAGATCCACTTGTATTGCTTTATGGTATCTCCGTATTGCTTTCTACAGAGGTTGAACTAGTTTGCAGTCCCACCAGCAATGTAGGAGTGTTCCTATCTCTCCATGTCTATGCCAACATTTGTTGTTATGGGACTTGTTAATACAGGCCATTCTCACTGGAGATAAGTGATATCTCATTGTGGTTTTGATTTGCATTTCCCTGATGATTAGAGATGTTGAGCATTTTTTCATGTGTTTGTTGGCCATTATTCTGTCTTCTTTTGGAAAGTTTCTGTTCATGTCCTTTGCCCACTTTTTGATAGGGTTGATTTTTTCTTGCTGATTTTCCTGAGTTCTATATAGATTTTAGTTATCAGCCCTTTATCAGATGTGTAGCTTGCAAAAATTTTCTCCCATTCTGTAGGTTGTCTGTTTGGAAAACAGACATGGAACCATGTAGGTTCCATGTTTCCAAGTGACAGTTTCTTTGGCTGTGCAGAAGCTTTTTAATTTGATCAGGTCCCATTTATTTATTTTTGTTGCTGCTGTGATTGACTTTGGGGTCTTCTTCACAAATTCTTTGCCTAGGCCAATGTCTAGGAGAGTATTTCCAATGTTTTCCTCTGGGATTCTAATAGTTTCACACCTTAGGTTTAAGTCCGTTACCCAGCGTGAGTTGATTTTTGTGAAAGGTGAAAGGTGTGGATCCTGTTTCAGTCTTCTACATGTGGCTATCCAGTTTTCCCAGCACCATTTATTGAATGAGGACTCTTTTGCCCAGTATATGTTTTTGTCTGCTTTATCAAAGATGAGATGGCTATATGAGACGGTTTCATATCTGGGTTCTCTGTTCTGTTCCACTGGTCAATATCACCATTCTTTTGCCAGCAAAAAGCTATTTTTAATACTATAGCCTGGTAGTATAGTTTTTTTTTTTTCTTTTCCTTTTCTTTTTTTTGTGTTCGCATGGATATAGGGGTACAGATTTAAGGCTTCAATAAATGCCCATTCCCCCCTCCCCCAAAAGTGCTGAGTCTCCATCATGACCATCCCCAGATGTGCTCACATCCACTCATTATGTATGTATACACCGCCCCCTCTCCACCTGCCCAATACCCTATTACTGTAGTACCTATGTGGTCCACTTAGGTGCTGACTCAGTTAATACCAGTTTGCTGGAGATATATCTGTGCTTGTTCTCCATTCTTGGGATACTTCACTTAGTAGTATGGTTCCAGCTCTAACCAGGAAAATATAAGATGTGCTATATCACCATTGTTTCTTAGAGATGAATAGTACTCCATGGTATACAGTATACCAACATTTATATTAATCCATTCTTGGATTGATGGGCACTTGGGCTGTGTGTCCACAGCCTTGCAATGTATGAATTGTGCTGCTTAAACATTTGAGGCGAGTGTCTTTTTTGTAGAGTGTCCTTGGATCATTTGGGTAGATGCCAGCAATGGGATTGCTGGGATCAAATGGGTAGATTCACTTGCATCACTTTAAGATATCTCCATATTGCTTTCCACAGAGGTTGAACTAGTTTGCAGTCCCACCAGCAGTGTAGGAGTGTTCTTCTCTCTCTGCAACCACGCCAGCATCTATTGTTTGGAGATTTTTTGATAAAGGCCATTCTCACTGGGGTTAAGTGATATCTCATTGTGGTTTTGATTTTGCATTTCCCTGGGATGCATTAGAGAGTGTTGAGCATTTTCATATGCTCTTGTTGGCCATTCTTCTGTCTCTTTAGAAAAATTTCTGTTCAAGTCCTTTGCCCACTTTTTAATGGGGTATTGATTTTTCTTCCTAGATTTTCGTGAAGTTAAAAAAAAACTATATTATCTGAGTTATCAGTCCCTTATCGGATGCATAGATGCAAAAATTTCTCCCATGTCTGTAGGTTGTTGTTCTATTCATGACTATTTCTCTTTGGCTGTGCAGAAGCTTTGTATGATCATGTCCCATTTATTTCATTTGTTGCGCTTCGTGATTGCCTTTGGGGACTTCTTCATAAACTCTTTGCCCAGCCAATGTCTAGGAGAGTGTTTCCAACTTTTTCCTCTAGCAGTTCTAAATAGTTTTCATACCTAGGTTTAAGTCTGTTATCAGCTGTGAGTTGGTTTTTCTGTGAGAGGTGAAAGGTGTGGGTCCTGTTTAGCCTTATCTACAGGTGCTATCCAGTTTTCCCCAAGCACCATTATTGAAAAGGGATCTCCTTTCTCCCTAGCGATTGTTTTTTGTCTGCTTTGTCAAGATTAGATGGCTAATGGTAGGTATCGTTTTATATCAGGTATTCTCACATCTGGTTCCACTGGTCCTTAATATTCCTAATTTTTTTTGTTGGCCAATACCATATTGATTGAATTACTACAGCTTTGCTAGTATATGTTGTATATCGGTTCTTATATATATTGTCCTTCACCTATTTTCGCTTGTTGTTTCCTAGAATTGCTCGTCATTATTCTGTGGTCTCTTCTGGTGTTCATATCGTAAGCGTACAATATCTATTTTATATCTGCTTGAATAAATGCTGATGGATTAATGGTATTGCATTGAATCTGTAGACACTTTGTGGTAGTATAGACATTGTTTGATGGATATGTAGTCTGCCCGACCACGAGCATGGTATGGATTCTGCCATCTGTTTATCTATCCTTTCTGCTTATTCCTTCCTCTAGTCATACTTCCCGTAGATGGCTTTACGTCCTTTGGTTATGTAATCCTTGAGTGACTTAATTTCTTTGG